TGTAGAATTTTCTTTCTAATCATAATTACAGAACTAATGTTGGAATTTTGGATTGAATAATTATTATGAGTACGAGACTAATGGATAGTAAGCATTTGAATAAAGAGTTATGACATCTGAAAGATTTATCCCTTGGGCGTAGTTGAGATCCATAACTCTCTACTAAGGAATAGATTTTCAGACCGAGCTAGACTAGCGGGAGCCTTTTCTCACGTCCTAATTTTTCCAACTGGGGGATAAAAATAATGGTCAAAGAGACTCTTGAATTTCTTTAGTTTAGGAAAAAATACGATCCGGCTGGAGCAAGATTGTGTGATCCTTTTCTCGGGTAAGTGTTGTTGATAAATCTAGTCCTATTCGCCAAACTAAGGGATCCCAAATATGCCTATAAAGGTAGTTTGGTATAACGGTCAAAATCGCCTAACAGAATGTGTCAAACTTACTGTATTTAGTAGGCAAACTCTAAAGTGTTGTTTTATTTTTTGTAATCACCTTGGTTTTCCATTTTCTTAGTAATGGTCGCAATTTTTAGTGCGGCTCAGGATGATTGATGAAATAAAGATAAACTAGCGAATTTTTATTCTGTCCATTTTGATCTGGAAATCATAGAAATCCTCAAGTGACGAAATTTTACACTTCGGAATAAAACAAGGCAATCAAGGAAATTTCAGATTAGATGATAAATATCACTGAGAAACTACCTAAAGAATCAAAAGGAAAGCTCGAAATTGAAATCATCTTAACAAGCATAGGGCATAAACAGGCCACGGACATAAACAATATAACCAAGATATATAGAAAATGGAAAATAAACGATCAAATGGATCTACAAGCTGGCAAAGGAGGCGCCACAGTGGTGATGAAAAGGAAGAAATATACGGAGAAAATTGATACTGACAACAAATTCACTCATACGAAAGGATTCAATAGCCCCAGTAGCATACGGTTTGCCAGATCAAGACAGAGAAGAATCAAAAAGATTGACAGTCGACAAGAAACATGGACCAACACAAATTAGTAAATTTATCGACCCTAAATCAAAGAAAGTGAATGACAGAGTATCGATCACAGTGAAAAGCTTATAGGAATTTTGCCAAAAAATAAAAGGCACCAGTTTGGAAGGAAACAAAGTTTTAGTGAGCTTTGATGTACAATCCATGTACACTAACATCTCAGGATAAAAAGTATTCACGGCACTATTATAGATTTTAGAAAAAGAAGTTGACATCCTGAATACAAAGCGAATCCGTAAAGAGTCCCTAACCCGGTTAACCAACCTTAAAATATGAATTATATATCATATCAAAAATTCCCTCTTGCTGCGTAGTATCCCCCTGATATCCCCCTGGTTCAGTTATTTCACTCGACTCCTGCCACCCTATCTGTTCTATTCGAGGTGTTATCTCCCACATTCTGCCTCAATCCTTTGATGGCACGTATACTCACGCCTAGATGAGTAGGCCGACAAAGTGTGTATTTTCACTTTGAATGTGAGACTAACGTGACACTTTAGACACCCAAGTAATTATCAAGTCCTAGCTTCATAGAACACGCGTCTATGATCAAACACGTCTACCGTTAGCCAACTAGTCGATTTACCTTTGAATTGTTGCAAACATTATGGTATCGTAAATAGTAACAAAATCTGGGTTTAGAAGAATTCCTTTATGAAATATTGTGGCATGACTCTCTATTTCGAAGGGAAAGTTGGTTGGAAGGAATTTGTGATGTAGTCTCACCAAAAATCGTAGGAGGATTGTTGCGTAAGGAAGACTGTTGTCGCAGGACGGTGAGCACAATACATCTGTCCTCCTTACGTGACAATCCTCCTTCGGTTTTCGATGAGACCACATCACGAATTCCTTCCAACTAACGTTTCCTTCGAAATAGAGAGTCATGCCACATTATGGTATCGTGCTAGTGTTCTACAACCTAATGAAGAAGTTAATGAAATACTAAATAACGCCTCCATCCAGAAATAAGACGAAAATTAAGAGACTGTAAGGCGTAAGCTATTAAAGTTTAAAGATATTAAGTCTAGAATTAGGAAGGATCTAAGCAGGATTCTCATTTCGCAGGACCTTTAAAAACTCCAGCATACGAATAATCAGCAGTCACAAATGGTCCGGGATTTAATAACTAAGCGGAATGACAAGAAATTGCAAAGATATTGGATAATAAGATAGCTCAGTATCAAGCCAATCCGGGCAAATTTTGATGATTGTGTAAAGAAGACATCAACTGCTACAAATTACAATAAGGATAAGGTAGTAAACCTATCCTCAATCCCTATTGATTCCGAAACGGTGGATCTTCTATAGAAGTTATAGAAGTCTTCCTACCAATGTGACCATGTTGCGAAAACAAGGTCAAACAACCTCTTCTATAGAAGTGTGTACATTTTTCGCTAGGTAACAAGGGGAAGCTTTTAGAAGATATCCTTGTAGAAGTTATGAACATCCTGGCGAAATGCCCAGAAGAAACGAAAAGGAGATTGAATTATTCCGACGAATCATATCACATCAAGAGTCAATAAAAACGAGTGGATTGATAAGAGATACTCAAAAATACAAATAATTGCCCAAATAGTTCTCTAGGTGGGTAAGAGAGATGCGACGGTGGTAATGGACAGGAAGCAGTATACGTAGAAAATGGAAAGTATCCTAGGCGACCGGAACACTTATAAAATATTAAGGAGGGATCCAACCATAAAGATCAACGGAATACTGAAGGAAACTAATAACGGAGAAATCGACAAATGGACTATGAACTCTAATTAAAATTGACGAACTACTAAAGATAGACAAGTAAGGACAATCGTTAAGATTAAGAGTCAATAACAAGCATGGAGCAACACACAGGCTAGAGAAATTTATTTGCCTGATACTCAAGAAAGTAGATGACAGACTCGAGTACCGTGAATAGTTCATAGAATTATCTCGAAGGATCCAAATATTGGGTTGGTGAAGACGGAACTGTTGGCAAGTTTCAATGTACAATTGATGTACACAAACACACCAGGAGAGAAGGCGATAAACGCCC